GTGGGCCAATGATAAGCGGCTACGGGGTCGAGCTCCTTTGGCTGAAAAAGTTCAGGTCATTATTCTGTGCAGCGCTATTCAGAGCCGGTCCCGTTAGCTCATTGTTATTCCGCCCGAGTGAGGGAGCGAGGGATAGCTGTGGAGAGAGAGGGAAGGCATTGTCAGAGAAAGGCTGGAGGGAGAGAGAGAATGAACGATCGAGCCTCTAACCCGTAAAGGACAAGCGCATCAGGCTCCGGAAAAACAGCGCAAACTTATCGGCGGTTCACAAGGACTGGCCAGGGGCGTGAGTGAAAGGGATGATAATCTGTCCGCAGCCGGGGCAAATAGGGAATGCCGCAAAGAAGTGCCCTTTAAGGAAAGCGCGAGTGAAAGGGAGCGGGCAGTGAAGGGGGGAAGACGGAGATTTAGTGCGAGCGCTGGGTTAAAGGCACCCCTCCCCATGAACCAAGGAGAAAACTAATAATAGACGGAGAAAGGAGCTGAACAAAAGCCGGCCGGATTTACATGTATCTTTCAACGATGATCTCAAAAAAGGTATGAACTCTGCGACCGCAGATGTTTTTAAATAACGTTAAAAAAGAAAGAAACAACGGACAGATGACTCGATTACTTCTAGATCAACAGGTGCTTTGCCATTAATGAATATTTTAACATGATGGTTTGCAGCATGTAGAATGATGGATCACCCGTATGTAATATGTACAGAGTATTTTTTATCAGGATGTCCATGCTGTACATTTTAATGGTTTAATTAGAGTAAGAATATAAAGCTATGGGAAATAATAGTTAATGGGAAATATTTGAATGTCTTTTAATGGGCTGTGCTTTTCAAAACGCAGTGTGGCATGGGTTTTTGGTACTCATTAACTTTGAGTTCTGAAACACATGAAATCTTATTTTCTTCTAACATTTGAAGTTTATATGCAGTACAAAAAGTATCCAATAGCTGCAAAAATCGGCTGAGTTTTATGGATTCAAGCAGCGTCTTTAACATAGGGCAGTCTGCATTCTAAAAATCATGCATGTTAAGAAAACAACTGCTTGTTTAGAGTCTCAGATCCTACAGTGTTAACCGAATAGTCCCTATTATTGATTTTTTTTTTCAGCTTAATCTCTTCTGAAACAGGATACCCCTGAATAGTTCCTGTTTCTGAAAGAGTATATACTCACCCGGTTTAAACTTGTGTCCCAGTAGTTCCTGTAAGGCCAAGGCGCTGCTGCAGAAGGCCTTTTTCAAGGTGTTGTGGCTGCAGCTCAAGGCTGAGCCACCATCTTCTTATCTGTAGCCCACCACTTGCATTCACTGGCCTGTAAATTCCAGAGACGATTCAGGCCCACGGATGGACGCTTGCTCCAGATTACGAAGAGTAATGGCTCACCAATAATTCAAACCCTCGGCCCTCTTGTCTCGAGTCTAGCACCCTAACAACGGCTCCACATGGCTGTTGCCAAATAATAGCCTTGTAAAAGTCAATTCAGGCACAGAGCTGTACTCATGCAAGCTCAGGCTGTTTAATATGTAGTGGAATAGTCTAGGCCTCAAGAGGGCATCCTGTTTGGAGTAAAGTCATTCCCTACAGGGGTATATCTGGTAAAGGAACAAATTTATTGACCACATGAAAATTTATTTGTGATGCTCAATTTACTGGACTTATCTTCAACTATTACTCTTCTTTACATTTTAGGGTGTTTTTGGCCATCATTCAATCTAAGAGTCTTTGGAGCAAAATAAATCGAGCACCGAGGAAAAACAAGAATGTCTCGCTCTGATGAGGTCAACAAGATGACCGAAAATGTCTACAAGGTAACGTTGCTGTAGTTAATTTTTGGAGTCTGGTCCAAAATTGCTGACATCCTGAGTATTACTGATGTATAGCAACAGCTTGTGTATAGCACGTGTAAGTTTCGGTTTAAGAAGGAGCTTTGGGGAAAAAGAAGAATGTACCAGAATTACAATGGAATTGTTTGAGTTGAAAGATTTCCAGACTGTGAGACCTGTGGTGTTGCCAGGCGGTCTGGTGTTTTCTTTGTGTTTTGGATTTGTGAATATTGCTGTTGCTTTAAAGGTTTCTAGCTGGAAATCCTGATCGGTGGCTGTCCATGATGTATGTTTAGGTAGCAATAATTGTGCAAAAATCAGACAAAACCATATAAATGGACTAGTTAGTAAGATTTACATAGTATCCACCAAGACATATACTGCTTTATATTTAAGTAATTAACATTTTAACAATAACAGGAATAATTGTTATATTGTTCATTAGAATCTAGGTAGTAGGAAAAACTAAGAAAAAAAACATCAAAGCGATTAAATATATACATAAACATTGGCAGGCATGTAATTAGCAGTGGTAGGTGTGCAGTTCTGGAAAGTTCTTTAGCAGAAACTAAAACAGCATGGCTTAGATCAGGGGTGGGGATCCTGATTCATGGAGGGCTGGTGTGGGTGCGGGTTTTTGGGATGACCTCTCAATCAGCCAATAACAGTGGATCCCCAGGACTGGCGTTGAAAAGCCTTCTGTATTATTGGCTGATTTAGAGGTCATCCCAAAAACCTGCACCCACAGCTGCTATCCATGGAACAGATTTGCCATCTCTGGCTTAGATAGCGGTTGCAGTGCTCATGGTGAAAATACACAATGAACACCATCGTTACCGTGGAGGTGGGTGTTGACACATGGCCTAGACCTCTGTGGACAGCTGTGTGTCTCTACCCTGCTGGGAAAAACTGACAGAAACTGCATGTTGAGTTAGTCCTGAGCTATCAATGTCCTATACGAGCAAAAATGCTCAAGATTGGTAATTCACAGTGTGAATGATATCATTATATCATACACAGTGCTTGACAGTAAGCCTTTCTGGGACCGGTGAGGAACTGCAGTTTGATTTAATACTTTCATTATGCTCTTCATAATCAAAACTGTTAGGTATTCTGCATCATCACTGTGGTGGGTTGATGGGTGGTGGTTTCATGTGAGGAGCGGTTTGCGATGAGTTTAACCACTTATTATATTTAACAACAGAGTTAATGCACCATAACCAAGTTATGCCATGTTCCTTATTCTGACTTGGCAGGGGGGGCCTTCTGTGATCACACAGCTTCAGTCTGAAGCTGGACCCCCCCTGCTTAGACCCCTTTTTCTGCCTTCTCTGCTTTCAACAGCAGCTTCAGCAGTTTCTGGCTTGAGTAGAGTTGGCTCCTTGAGGATAAATGTGTTCCAGATGATCATGGAAGCCCGTGCCATGCTGTGGCACTTGATATGGGACCTGTTCTCACTCTATGTAGTGGCTCAGTGATTTGTGTTTTGTTTCCATTCTTCTGAAGAACATTCTGGATCAGTTCAACCCAAGCCTAAAGAATTTTGTCACAATGGGGAAGAACTATGAGAAGGCTCTGACAGGTAAGCCCCACCCAGTCTGGCTGTTTCCAGTGTCCATGGACCTTTCTGACACACCGATACTACACAGGTCCACAGGTGTGAAACAGAGAGATGCTTTTCAACCTGACCCACCCGCAATCTGTTTCAGGAGTGACAGTGGCAGCTAAAGGCTATTTCGACGCACTGGTCAAATTGGGGGAGCTGGCCAGTGACAGCCAGGGCTCCAAAGAGCTGGGTGAGTGAAAGCGAGCACGGTAGCCTGTGGGAGAATGGGTAAGTGTGTGAGTGAGAGCGAGGCAGGGCGAGAAAGAGACGTGGGGAGGGCAGGAGAGAGTGGGGCCATTGTTGTGAGATTAACAACACCACATGATCTTATTGTGTTGGCGGAGCCGTGGGGGAGGGCGGGATGCCAAACCGCGAACGCCGTGCCGAGCCGAGAGAATCCCAGCCGATGCCCCAGCAAACTCAAAATGATCAGTCAGGCGGCGTCCATGGAGGCCAAGCCAATCTTTAATGGTAGAAATTAAAGGTCCTTCTATGATTAACACCTAGTTCAATGTGGTCTTTGTAGGAGATTCTTAGGAGTTCTGTTGTAAGTGGACAGATAGTGCTCACAGTCAGACATACCAAGCAGTGTAGCTCAGACTGCCAAACCACTACACTGCAGCATGAGCCAAGTTAATATTTGATGTCGTATTATTGGTATATAGTATAAGAAAATGGTGAAGATGCTATTTTTAACTCCAGGAGACACGCTGTTCCAAATGGCAGAGGTCCACAGGCAGATTCAGGTCCAGCTGGAAGATGTGGTGAGTGCTCGTTTGGGACCACATTGAGATCCTGCTTGACTTTGTGTTCCTTATCCTCCATATTGGTTTTTCATGTCCACCGTGTGGATTTAATCGTCGCCTCTCGCTATCTGCAGTTGAAGCTCTTTCATTCTGAGTTGCTCTCCCAGCTGGAACAGAAGCTGGAGCTGGATGTGAAGTACTTGACGGTAAGTATGAGCACCTCGTTCCTGGCTTCGCATTCGTCTCGCTGCCAAAAGAGCTATGAGTTCAGCACGGTGCCTCGACCAAATCGCCTATCTTGCTTACCCAAGGCCACCCTGAAGAAGTACCAGAGCGAGCGCAAGTCAAAAACAGACTCCATTGAGCGCTGCCAGTCGCAGCTGAAGAAGCTTCGGAGGAAGAGCCAGGGAAGCCGCCAGCCGAGCAAGTATGGGGACAGGGAGATGCAGGTTTGTAGGAACAGGAGTATGCATGCATCGTGAGAACTGACAGACTAGACTGACCACAGCAGTGCCATTCACTGTAATTTGTAAAGGTTCCTCAGGGTACATCACAAGCCCCAATCACAGTGCAGGAATCTCCTGGCAAGTTTAGCCCTTCAGTTTGACTGACCCCCTCATCTCACCGTCTTGCTCCCTCTCAGTTTGTGGAGCTGATGAGTCGACGTCAAGGAGAGTTGGACAGCCTGGTGGCAGCAGGCTACCGCTCTGCCCTCACCGAGGAGAGGAGGAGGTACTGTTTCCTAGTGGACCGACAATGTTCTGTCACCAAGCTCCTCATCAATTACCACTGCAAGGTAGGACCACACTGCCACCTGCAGGATGGGGGGTGTTACTGCTGTCTTTTACTGTATAACATACATTCTTTCTGATTTTTTTAATACAAATTAGGATGTAGGGAATCTCATTTAGGAGACCAGTAACATTTTTATATTTGTCTGATTATACTAATAATGTCAACAAGGGTACATATGCATCCATCCAGAAAGCCAGCCAGACATCTATCTGCTTCTGTCTGCTTATCCTAGTAAGGGTTATGGAGAGCTGGAGCCAATCCCAGGGAACGCAGGACACCAGGCTGGGTTATACCCTGGAGAGGATACCAGTCCCTCACAGGACACGCATAATTGTACATTATGGGCAGTTTAATAAAGATGCTAGTTAACGTCATGTCTTTGGACCATGGGAGGAATCATGTTTCATTAGAGAAGACCATGCAAACTCCTCACACACAGAAAGCACATTGCTGTCATGTGAAGAGCAGTAATAGTCATAGGAGTACTGTTGATGCAGCTTCTGCATCCCTGTATGTCCAGGTCAGGGAGCTCTTATCACAGAAGCTGTCCTCGTGGCAACTGTCCTGCTCACAGCCCACGCGACTCCCAGACAGGGCTCTGAATCTGTTGCGACACACTGCACCTCAGGGTTCAGGGGCGGCTGGCATTGCTGAGCTCCTCCGACATGCCAAGCTAAGCGCTCCCCAATCCATGGAGCAGGTAAGCGGTGCAGCCGTTTCTGCTAATTCTACACTCCATGGTACAACAGACATGGTCTGCAGGAGCAGAGTCAACTACATGTGGAACCCCAGATGTACAATCCTCATTTTCCATGCCCTTCCTGTTTGGTTTTCAGAGGCTGTCCGTGCAGGAAGTCCCGCCCCTGTTAAATGGCGACAACGCCGTTTGCACGCAGCGCATCCTCCCGTCTTTGCAGAGTGAGACGTCTGCTCACAGTGCTGCTTCCCAAACCTTCCGGAGCCTCTCTGCACAGTCCAGTCAGACCTCTCAGCACTCCACGCTTAACGGCAACAGCAACACGCCCACCTCCACCTGCGGCCGCTCCCAGCACACGTCCGTTCATTCCGCCCCCAACACTTCGAGCCTCTCCCATAATACATCCACCTCCAGTACCGTCTCCCTCAGCCACAGCTCCCCAGTTTCCCAGAATTCCCTGCAAGTATTGTCTCTCTCCCCAATTGCCCCAAAAAGCCCTCCTCTACCCCACAGTGCTCCTCTTTCTAGGGCTCTTACACCTGTCCTGCATCATGAAGTCATTAGTAATTCTCCACCATCCCACAATCCCATGCTGCTGAAAGCCTCCGAACTCTACACCACCTCGACTCTGCCTCTACCGCGGAGACCAGTCAGTGAAGCGCGGCTGGGATTTTTGGGTAGGCTCATTTCCCATCGCTCGTCATGCAGCCCGATAGCACTGTTATGATCAACACTGTAACCTAGCTCCTCCCCTTTGTCACTCTCAGGAGGGACTCTCCCCCGAGTCCTCCCACTCTCCCCTCCCACCCGAGTGGAAGCCCTCTTCCCCCATGCACCTGGAGGAGGGGAAGGCTTTGGGGGCGAGGGGCCCTGCCTGCTGCAGTTTCTCCCTGGTGACACCCTCACCCTGCTCATTTCTGAACCCAGAGACGGCTGGCACTACGGGCAGAATGAGAGGACTGGACGGTAAGCTCCTCTGTCTTTACAGTATGGCCTCCTTGGCAGTTTTCTGACTGTTAATTATATCAGACTGTCCAGTTAATTACGAGTCCCTCTCTGTTTGCACGCAGGAAAGGCTGGTTTCCTTTCTCTTATACTCAGCCTTACCCGAACTCTGCAGAGCTCCCAGAAAACAGGTTTGTAATTCACTGTGGCAAAGAATGAGCAAAACCCAGAGTGGGAACAGGAAAGAGGAGGCTCAGTGTTCTGAGAACAGTCAGTGCTTACAAATTATTGGGAATCTTTCCTTGGTCTGTGACTGTATGGAATATGGAGGCATAAGCGCTTTCACACCGAAGTTCCGGAACCTGGTCCTGGTTCACAAGTCCCTGGACTGGGATCTTTTGTAGTTCCTGGCCACTTTCATCTGTCACTTTTGCACCGCACAACAGGAACTGGGAACTTTATGCTAAATAAGCATGGGAGACACAAAAGGTGTGTAGGTTAAACTTCACACATAATTTCATATGAAAATTCACCTCCACCCCAAAACAATGTACGATAAGTCTTTTTGTTGTTTATTTGTCAGTTATTGAGGGGGGATTGATCACAATCAAAACTGGATACAGCCTTTTATTTATATTTTACTTATACAACCAGCAACATGTTCATAATTGTTATTAAATCTAGCCAGCAGATAAATTTTTCATTTTCTACAGAGCAAAAAACAATAAGCACTGGAAAGTTTCACCGCCAGCAGCAGTGATGTTAGACAAAAGTATATTGCTTAAAGATTGAATTTTCCGATGCAGAAATGTGGAGATGCAAACAAAAATGCATCAAATGCAATTGAGGTACAAAAATAATTCCATCTGCTCAATTTTTGCTCCGCTATTCTTTTCCTGCACTTCCGTGTAACTTCCATGTTAGTGCCAGTGCTTGTGGTCAACCAGTCGGCAAGCTATGGCTGTAAGCACCAACCAGTCAGCAAGCTTTAAGTGCCTCCCCAGTAGTTCGTGTTCGAGCAAAAAGTACCGAATCTGGAGTAGGTACTAAAAAAAGGGTTCTGGAACTGGTGCCGAGGAACTACAAAAGGTGTGAACACAATAAGTCCCCAGTTCCAGAAGAAAGTTCTAGTCCCAGAAAAAAGTTCTGGTGGTGTGAAAGTGCCTGTTGAGTCTGTCAATTAGGGCTGGCTGATATGTCCCAAAAACTATATCACAATATTTTCAGAAGATTCAGAGATTTTCAGATCATATCAATATTTATCACAACATTCTACAATTCATATGTAGAAAACAGAAAATATGACAGGTTGCTTTTTTATGATTCTGATGACCAAATTTTTTACTAATAGTCAGAGAACTTGTGACAGGTAAAATGATAGATTATGGCAAAAACACTCATACCTTGATGGAATTTGTGTAAAAATGGTGCATTATAATTGGTAATTATGCAAGAAAACAAGCGTTTCTGCTATATTGTGATACTCATGATATTCAGATTTATGATGATTTCAATGCTCCTAATCACAGTATGTTATCGAGATATTGCCCAGCCCTAGAAATATCTATGGCTTAGCAGTTGGCTGCTTGAGTTAATACATCATCTAGCAAAGACGAGCTTTTCTGATAGAGCTGTTAGTGGGTCCATATCCATTAATCATTAGCAGTTGAAAGGCTGTCACTCCCAGACTCACTGTTCAGTCTGTCCATGGTAGAATGTGTTTTGGTATCTAACTTACACCTTCTTGTCCCACCTTTTGCCGCTGCAAACTCCTGACCTGCATCCCCTCTTCTCAGCCCTGGCCTCAGCTCCACCCTCCTCTCCAAGGCCAACAGCAGCAGCATTGGGCAGTTGGACAAGGCGGCTGCACCTGGACTGCAGCCCACGAACCCGGAGCCCGTGGAGGAGCTTGCCACCCCTGCCCAGCGAGTTAGCACATTCCGCCCTCGCCCATACAGCATGGTCAACCCTGAGATCACCCAGGTCAGACAGCCACAGGACTAGTCCATCCCAAAGCCGGGAGGACGATACAGCTGCTCAGATAGAGCACTAACAACTGAAGAAGCACTTCCTGTTGAATGTGCACCAACCAATGTCCTCTTCACTGTAGTCTGAACTCCACCGATACTTATAAATTGCTTACATATTTTAAGCCTTTTTTGACTTTTTCTCACAGCTTTCAGCAGAATTCGGCTCCCCTCTGCCATCGCCAACAAGGTATGTGTTTTAACAACAGAGAGCGGTTTGCCTTCGTCTGCCCT